AGAAGAAAGGATAAAAGGCTACAGCTAGAAACTAGTCAATATGAGCTTCTAGTACATTATTTCTCAAATAGTTTCTAAGGTTGAGAAACGCTAGTTTAGTAGAAGATTGTTAAATTTCAAAATCATGAAGGTGTTTTACCTTGAAGATTCAAAGACAGAATAATTGTAATTGACCAAATATTCAACCTCAACTGCTCCCTCAATTTTTCCAAGTAACCTATTTTCAGATCTTTTATAATGTATAATATAAAGTGGGAACAGTCTTAAGGACTGCAACCAGCTTTTAATCTGCTATTGTGATACTTAATCAGAAATATACGATTTGTACAGAAGAACAGATGGAACAAATAACTGAGAAATGTACATTATGTCAGTGTCATCTGTAGCAATAAGTCACTTCATCTGATTTCTCAGAAAACTTACATCTTTCAACATCTTATTTTTCTTGAAAATGCATGAAAATACAATTTTCATGTTTTTCTAACATATCTAAAAGAAATCCACCACTGATTTCTTACATGCTTCTAGGGAAAAAAAAGTGTAAAATTATATTTGTACAGCATAAGAAGTACACTTTCACAAAACCCAGCTTGTTTTTAAATTTTCCAAATAATATGATGCTAGGATATGTTTGAAATCCTAGACAAGACCAAATTAGGTATTCCCCATTAGCTTATTTTTTTAAAATGCCTCTTTAAGTGCATATAATATCAACTGAAAAATAACTGACTTTTAATTTTATAGACAAAAACAAAAACAAAACATAAGGCATAATAGTAAGTATCTGCTTACAAATTCAAATTCTTTGCACTGAATTTCTCTAAAGTATTTTTGTTCAATGGGATCTGCTGTTTCAGAGTTCTCTTAAGATGGCTTATAGAAACTTCTACATCAAGTTTCCTGGATGATCTAAACCAAGTGTCAAACTCAAGGCTTGTGGACCAGATCCAGCCTGAAGGGTGCTTAAATTCCCACAGGGCCAGTTTGGAAATACCAAAGGACTGGCCCACGGTGCCTCTGGATGGCCTCCTGGAGCACTTTGCCAGCCAAAACGGGGTGAGGATACTGTCTCTCGCCCCCTGGCTGGCCAGCAGAGAACTACAATGCTGCTCCACCCTCAAAAAAATACAGTTTGACACCCCGATCTAAACTGTTAATTTAAGTTTTATATTCAGTTATATTAAGGTTCCAAAAATAATGTAAAATCAGTTATATTTTATTCTGTAAATTGAAAGAATATTCCACAATTCATAAAACACTTACAATATCAAAGAGTTAAGTACCTTTTCAGTATAATCATAGGAGGCTGAAAAACATAAGGCATCATTACGTTTTTCTCAAGTCAGCACAAGGTCAAATGTATTGGTTCTGATAGGGACCAAGACTGATAGCTTGAGGATACAAAAGGAGGGGGACCCCCCCCAAACCGCTGTTCACTTGACAGTTCTACATGATGCAGTCAAGAAGTTGACATGATGGGAAAATGACGGTACAAATTATTACAATACCTAATTCTGAATACAGGGCTATTAATTGCTGAGAAAGCATTGTTTCTGCCTAAAAATAAAGACCACTGATTTACTTAACTGAGTAGAAGGGCAAACTTTATCTCTTCTTGCATTCTTCACTGATATCTCAAAAAGTAGAAAATGACTGCATTTTGTTTTGATCTTAGATGAATGTGTTTATACTATTTAATAAAATGAAGTTTATATATTTAATAATATTTGATTGAAAATGAATGATTTAAAATTTTAGGAATCAATAAGTTCTTAGATATCAGTATACTAAATCTGAGAAACACAATTATTTAAATAAAATAAAAACCAATTACATTAACAAAACAAAATAATCAGAAGAGCCAAAAGACTGATAGAATTATATTTATTTCATTGGATACTAAATATATTTTAATTTTACAATTCCGTAAACAAGGAAAACCATGGGGAAAAAAAACAATTCCTGTTATTTACCATTTGGCAAGGATGCCCCAAGAATATCTCCATATATCTTAAGCCTAGCAAACTTATATAAAAAATAAAAATAGTGCTTTATAAATTAAAAACAGCTATTTCATTGTCAATGTTATATCAACAGATCCTTAACAGTCATATTAAAACCTTCAGCACTCAGCAATAAAAAACAAAGCATTAAAAGTAGAAGGTATTTAATACAAGATAGTTGATTTAGAAAAATGTGTCTTTTGTACTATAACCACAATTTTAGTAAAGAAAATAGACATGTACCTGCCCCATACCATGGGTAGATTTCATTTAAGTGATATGCATTTCAGGGTTCAAGACACTGTGGATTATACTGAAGTAGTCACAAAAAACCAAATTATTATATAGTATCATTCAACAGCCTTCAGAGAAAAATGTATTGCATTAAGTGATCAATAAACTTCATTTAAGCCAGTTGAATAGCCTTAAAACTTTACTTGATTGTTAACCATTTTTTATGAAACACACTCCCAATGATTTTTTGAAGTTACATACAATTAAGAAATCAATAAATAATGCCTTGTACATCATTTAAGAATTTGAATATTTTAAAGCAGTAATGATGTACAATTTAAAACGCTATAGCATAGCTTTTCCTATAAACATTGTAAGTACACAAATGAAAAATTAGCAAAAATTCATTCTTTAACTATATTTTATAAAATCTTGAATGAGTAGAATAATGATTTTGTCAAAACTTTGCACATAGATGGGTAGAAATATTACTGAATGTAGAAACATTTTGGAAAGGAAGCAATGTTATCATTTGTTTTATTTACTAAATTTATCCCCAACATTATCTACTGAGTCTTACCAGTTTACAAGCTATATAGCACCATAACAGTTAAAAAATCCATAGTAGGTTAAAAATATAAACATCAATAACAATAAAGAAAAATCATTGCAGAACTATAGCAGTTTTTACAAATTCATCATTTTCAAAATAGATTATATAATTACTATGAAGCAGCCTACCAATAACAAAAAGTCTACCTGTTTGCTGCATTTTCATGAATATAGGTAAGCAAGAAAGGGGGTACAACAAAAGGAAAGGAGATTAATAAATTATTCAGATCTAATGTCAACAAAAAGAGTGTAAAAGAAAATTACTGTGGCAATGTATTTAATAGGGCTCCACAAAGGGCACATTCTACAAACTAATTTGAACAATTTCAGATACTGAAGAACATACCAAAATTTAAAATTCACTTTTACAAAAGGACAGACTAATTTTATATGCAATGTTTTAAATGTACACAAGCAGCGTCAGAAATGGGTAAGAGTATTTTAAAGCATGTCTGAAAACTAAAAGTTTTTGTAATTTATTTTTACAGTAACAACAGAGTAAAATATTACTGTATAATTAATATCCATATCTAATCACAAGAAGCTGGTCAGTAATAAAGTATTTGATTTGACGAATGAAGGCCCAATAATGTAGATCAGTGCCTTATTAAACTAAGATCTCAAAGTCTGTTTACTGCACTTACAGTTCCAATAAATATAGGTAGTTGATTTACAACCATTTGTTTAGTAACCTTTTGAAATTACAATAGCACTAAAAAAGGTGATTTATGACTGCTTTTCACACTTACAACCATTGTAGTAGCCCCATAGTCAAATAATCAAAATCCAGATATTTGGCAACTGGTTCATATTTATGACAGCTGCAGTGTTCCAGGGTCATGTGATTGCTTTTTGCAACTTTTTGCAACTTTTTGCAACAAGCAAAGTCAATGGGAAAGCTGGATTCACCTAGCAACTGTGTTACTCACTTAACAACTGCAGAGATTACATAACAACTATGCCAAGAAAGGTTGTAAAATGGGGCAAAACTCACTTAACAAATGTCCTACTTAGCAATGTAAATTTTGGGCTCAATTGTGATCTAAGTTGAGGACTACCTGTAAATAGACAAATGAAAGAAAAAAGACATAATAATATAGATAAAAAGATCTTTCTATTAACATTATCAAATCAGACCTCTCTGACTATATTAAATGCCATTCAAATTTGTACTATGTAAATTTCTTTAATATGTATGTAAATTTCTTTAATGTGTATCATTTTAATATTTGTCACTTATATGCACTTACACTTTCAATGTGATACCTAATTTCAGTTCAGTGCTGCACAATATTTTTTGTTTGGCACTTTAATCAAATTGCAACATATTATCCTTTCTCACTGCTATTGCGAAGTTTAATTTTTTAAAAACTTCCTATGAAAGGTCAGTCACTAGGTCTCAAATAGTGCAACTTTAATGTAATGAAGAGCAGAAGGCCCAGTTATTTCTCCAGTTCTTGCCTATGCAGACTTCAAATTAGGACTATTTCAGCTGAACTGAAATAATGTTTCATCTATAAAGTGTCTAGATAGTATTAAGAGGCATTTGTCACTCCTGGTATTTATTTATGACAGGATCAAGGCTCCCGTCCTTTGCCCTTTACTGAAGAATAATTATTTTCTGTGGGACTTGTTTCTGAATAAACAGATTGAGATCTGGCTTCAAAGAATGATTGTGTCTGTGGTTTTTAGCAAACTTTCCACTTCAGTGTCTGTCAACCTCAGCAATTTTAATAGGTGTGGATTTTAACTCCCAGAATTCCTCAACCAGCTATCTTGGAGTTGAAGTTTGTAAAACTTAAAAGTTGCTGACATTCAGAAACACCGAATTAAAGGAATCAAAATTGTAATCAAAATTCAGTGCAATCCTGGACAAAGTGAACTGTAGTTACAGTCCTTTTTATTAAACAATAAGGCAGTTAAAATTACTGTAAGGCCCACTCATGTCTTAAGGATTGCATTTTTCTTAAAAGGCTTCAACTCGTTTTTTTTTTCTCTTTTCTATACAATATCCTATGCGCATGAAGACGACCTGAAGCGTCCTCGTGATGATAGAAAGGAAGACTGTTATCCTCATGCCAATTGTACTTTGGAACTAGTATAACCAGCCAATTGGTATAACCAGCCAATTGTACTTTGGAGCGAGGACTCCACAAACAAAGCAATCGTAGCCCGCCTGCTGGCTTTGTGCTTTCCTTCTACAGCAGAAGGACATTCGTGTTTGTGTGTGCACGCTTGCAGGGGCAGTTTTCAGAATCTGAGTTACTAGCAAGGAGGCGGGAGAAACCACAGGCGAAAATCGCCGCCTTTAGCACACAACTACGAAGCAATAGCGGCACTCGGGTCCAGTCCTGCAACCAGAGGACAGAACTAATCCGCGGCCTTATCTCGACATAAACCGGATTGCCCAGCTGGCGGATGCAAAACAGCAAGCGTAAATTACGCACCCAGAAGCAGACCGTCCATGTCAAAGATCAGGTGAGTTACAGGCTGCACCGACGACAGGTGGCACGTAGCCATTGCGTTCCAACCGCGATCTCTGCCAAGAACAGAGCTTAGGCAGGGCGTCCTTTCTGCCCATGCGCTACGACAAGAGGGGCGTGGCTTAGGGGACGAAGAGGAGTGGCATCGTCTGGACTTTCTCCGGACTCTGGCTGAATAACATTGGTTGGGGGCGGGAGACAGCGAAGGGCAGGTGAGGATTGGAAGCAAGGGCGCGGAGAAAGCAGTAGTTTCCGCCGCACATGCGCACCGCGCTTTTGTTTTCTTTCAGTTGTTGAGGCGTGGGTGGTGAAGCTCCGTGCGTGGGTTTTATTGTTCTGGTCTTACTACTAAAATAGGAAAGGGTGGCAGGAAGCAAGTCGTGTGAGGAAGGCAGCGGTGGGCGATTCAATAGACACAAGCATGAATGACCTGCAGGTACATAAACAAAACCAAAAAAAAAAAAAAAAGCAGCAGGTATTGAATAACGCTGCTTCGTTGGATCTCTCTTTTCGTAAAGACTTCTAAGAAAACATTTATTTGGAAATTCAGTCAGGCGTTTCAGTCCTAGAGGAAGCTCTCCGTAGAGGCCACATGCTGGGTGTCCATCACCCTTTGTCCCGCCTCTGGGGAGGTCTGAGAGAAGGGCCAAGTTTGCCACCCTAGCAGGGTGCCACCTTCTGAAGGGGGGTGAGTTCCCAGGAATCCCAGCAATGCACCCAGACACAAAAAGACATTCACATAGGATTTGGCCCAAAGTGGGAAACAAAATAAGTAGCATTAAAACTCCGTGTTGTCCTCCTATAAGCATCGGAATCGCGGGACTTCTGGTTTGTCGGCTTCGCGAGCAGCAGGGATTCGCGAAGCTGCGCGATCCCTGCTGCGCTAGCCGCTTTTGGTGCTCCGATCCGGACGGGTCCGGAGCTAGGCTGCCCTGCAGGGGCAGCTGAAGATAGGGGGGATCCGGAGAGGAGTTTGGGGGTGTTGCAGACCCCCTCCCTGGCCGGCAGAACCCCCTTTTCCCAAGACGGTGCAGCGGCGGTCTGCAATGGCCGCCACAAAGAAGCTGGCAGCCAGGTAAGAATGCGCAGGAGGAAGTGGAGAAAGTTTTTGAAAAGAGAAAGTTTTTCTTGGTTCCCAGGACTCTAAGACATATTTAACAAAACTCCTGAAAATTATGACTTTCTGAATGATACCTTCTAGAAGAGGAAAAAAGCAGCAGTTTGGTGGTGCTGAAAGGAAAGTTTACTCTCCTTCCCGACGGAATTAATAAGTGGACATTGAGAAACCTGTTTTTTTCAGGTAAAACTAGCTTTATGGGATAAGTCGGAAGGGAGAGGACAAAAAATATATTCATCTGGTTTGATTTTGTTGGAGGAGATGCCTTAAGGATTTGAAGACAGAAATAGAACTCCAATAAGGCTTCAAAATACAGATTTGGACTTTCTTTTTTCTTTTGTCTGATACTACCCCTGGAAGAGAAAGGGAGAATTTTGTCTTGGCTTGGATTGATTGAGGATTGTGGATTTTGGGATTGTTTTACTTTTTTTTAAAATATCTTGGTTGGTGTAAGAAGAAAGAGGGAAAAAAGAAAAGAAAAGAAAAGATCTATAATGGCTTTTTCTTTTGAGGAACTGAGGGAAGAATATGAGCAAACAAAAGCAGCCGGTAAAGATGGTATGGAAAAAGCCTTCCTATTTTTAGAAATGGCGCTGGTTAACTATCAACAAACAATACAACAGATGGAGGCAGAAGAACAACAAGAAGAAGAAGATGAAGACGCCATCTTTAATGAATTCCAAAATTTAACTATGAAAGAAGGAAGGAAGAAAGCGAGGAAAATGAAGGACTTAAGATCTAAAAAAACATTTAAGAAAGAGAAAAATAAAATGCAAAATAAATATAATGATAGTAAACAAAAGAAAAAGGGAACACAACAGAGAAGGGATGCCAGCAAGGCAGAGGCTAGAAGAAGGGGGGGTAGGAATATTTGGTGGGGGAAGAAAGAAAGGGGAAAAGCGGAGAAAAGCCACAAAGTTTTGAAATTAGATGGGAAAAGAGGAATTTTTTTTAGGGACAAAGGGTAAAGTACAATTTCCTTAGAAAAGATTTTGCAAGGTACATAAGATGGTATTGTAACATCTGTATTAGAAATAGAAAATTAGAATGGCTTAAGAGTTAATAAGAAATTAAAATGTTGAAATGTTTAACAATGATTGATTTTAAAATGTAATAAAATATTAAAGGGAAAGGCAATGGGAATGTTATAAGATTTAATATTTAGATTTATTATTTAACTATGTATTTAATCATTTTGGATTTATTACTCTGTTTTTATTGTTATTAAAAGAAAAAAATTAGTAGATAGAATGTACCAAGCAGAATCAGATTGGGTATTAGGTGTTATTTTAAATGTTAATCTAATTAATTTAGGGGGAGGATAGAAAGGCATCATACTCTGATTAGTGATTTCAGGAGAAATTCTTTTTTTTTTTTTATAAGGAATGAGATAGAGGGATAATAAAGAATGGGCAAAAGATACAAATATAATGATTTAAATTAAGATGGATTAAATAAGATAGAATTATGAAGAGTGAAATGTGTGGAGAAGTTTATATAGAAGATATAGAATGGTAAACAAAATAGGTAATGATATGTAAGATGAGCATGAATATAATTGAAGCCCATATAAAGAGAGGTACCTGGGGCCAAGTTACTTTCCTAAAAGATTTTTTATATGTTTGTTTGTTGTGTGTTTATGTTTTTGAGAGTATTAATAAAACCTTGTAGAAATACAGAATGAGAATAATGGTAATCAAGTCAGAAAGAAATAGATGAAATAATAATAGTGAAATTGAATAAGAGTAAAGAGAAGTAAAGAGAAATTGGATAAGAGGTATTTTTATGCTCATATGGAAATGGCTTAAGGTAGAATTGTATTGTATAAAATGGGGTTTTATCTGACTTGTAAAATTTATAATGGAAAAAGGTTCAAATATGTAATGGTTGATGATGATTTGTTTGTCTTTGAAATTAATAAAATTTGCTTGAAAAAAAAAAAAGCATCGGAATCGCTTTGATCCCAATAGCTTTATGGTATTAACTTGCAAGCAATGGCAGTTTAAATTTGAAAAGTTCCTTTTAAAGGGGAGGAATAAAAAAAATAAAAAAATACTGAGCACCGGGAGACGTTAACTCATTTTTTGCAGGGAACAAAGCTGCATGTCACTATTAAGACTGCACTCTTTATTTCAAAGACCATTTCGAAGATGGAATACTTAGATCAGTTTAGGGTTAACTCTAGGTGATTTGAGAGAAAAGAAAAAACAAAGTCCAGTTACCTCATAAAAAAGCACTTTTTGGACAACCATGACCTGGATAACATAGAATCTCTCTAGACCTTTAGCTATACAATTTGGGACAATACCCTTTGAATTGTGTGGGAGTAGGAATGGATTTCCAGAGGAAAAATTGCAGGCTACAAGAACAAGGAGCATTGAGGACACATAAACCTCCAAGTGCTTTAACGACCCTCTAACTACCAGCTGTCTACAAGGAATATAAATCCTTCCATTCCCCATTATCCTGCCAGAACTGAAGAAGCTTCTTGGATGAGAAGCAAAATGTCTTCAAAAGAAAAAAATCCAGTTGCCTCCAGAAAAACCACCTTTGGGACTGTGTGGATGATAATTTACTATAAATATGTCCTATTTTCTTTGTATGTATATTTATATTACTGAGTTACATCTCTCTGAACTGAGACAGAAGGAAGACTGTCAGACTATGCTATGGTCAGATAAGAGGCTGTATATTTATTTCCAGTTCACATAAGGAATGGGAGCATGGAAAATATTTCAAAAGTTCCTTAGTTCTGTGGACTGGAAATAAATATATAAATTATTTGTGATAGAATGGATTTGAAATCAGCTTTTGACTTTATTGCCCCAAAATAAGATAAAATATAATAGTTACATAGATTATAGTTACATTTAGTGTCTACTAGATCTATTGATGAAATGTTATGAGAACAACATGCAGATTTATTACAGTCGTCAAGGGCATGTGTGTGTTTGTATATGCATAATTTCAATGGAATTAAGAGTTTTCTTTATTTTTCCTTCTTCAATCAAAGCCATTTCCCTTAGGGCAAGAAAGATGTAAGCTTAAGAATTATCAGAACTAATTAATCATTCTTAAAACTACTGTAGTGGCATAAAATTACTTATTTTGTTAATTAACTATTTTATGAATGCATAAATGTAAATAGGCCTGCCTATAGTGTGCATGAATTTGCATTCCACCTACTATCAAAATTCTAGGCAATTTACATTTCAAAACAAAAGAAAACATGAAAATACAAAATACCATGTAACAATGTTAATAATAAAATGTATCTTCAATCTTAAACATCTATTGGAAAAAATACACTCTTTACTCTTTTCTGAAATGTCATCAGGAAATGGAACATCCTAATCTTAGATGGGATGGAGATTATTCCAGAATGATGGAACCCTTTTGCTGAGTTTACTGAGTGTAAACATCTCCTGTATTTTTTAAGCAGGATAGTCTCTCCTTGTTCTCCCTCCCATCCCCCTCCCTCTCTCTCTGTTTTTCTGTATCTTACTGTATTGTACATATTTATGTATAAAACAAGTAGTACATTATGTTATTTGTGTACTATGGAATTTATACACTATTAGATATTATTAACACTAATCTTTAAATCTTCAGAGATGAAGGAAAAAAATCATGAACATTACCTTTAATATCTGAAATGTCAATATTGATAAGTATAGAATTATTTAAATTTTGCATTTAAAGCTAAGTATGTCATTAATAAATAAATGCAACATACATCATATTTGTTATGCAATTAAGGTTTCAGTTTTAACTCAATACTTAAGGTGTCTACTGTACTGTTGCTTATTATTGTTGCTTATGCATATTAAAGACCAAACAAAATATAGAATAAGAAAAGCAGAAAAAGTTTTAGAAAG